TGGCGGGCGCCTGTGGTCCCAGCTACTTGGGAGGCGGAGGCAGGAGACTCGCTTGAGCCCAGGAGTTGGAGGTTGCTGTGAGCTGTAATGCTATGGCACTCTACCCAGGGGGATAGCTTGAGGCTCCATCTAAAAAAAAAGAGAGAGAGAGAAAGAGAAAAAGAAAAATAGAATTGAAATTGAAGCCTCACATTCATAGGATCTCAGAAATGAAAGCATTCATGTTCAGTATTAGCCTTAAGAAATGCAAGAGCATTTTTCTTCTCTCTGGCTTTCCAGCCCATGGTTTTCTATGTCCCACGATGAGATGAGTGAGATGAGTGACTGCCTGGTTCCAAGCAGTAATTAATGTTAATGTCTTTCCTTTCTTACCCTATAAAATGATGTATTTTCAAAGGTGAGACTAGGAGGCCAAGTGCAGTGACTCACGCCTATAATCCTAGCACGCTGGAAGGCCAAGGTGTGTGTATTGCCTGAGCTCAGGAGTTTGAGACCAGCCTGAGCAAGAGTGAGAATCCATCTCTAAAAATAGCTGGGTGTTGTGGTGGGCGCCTATAGTCCCAGCTGTAAGGGAGGCTGTATCAGTAGGATTACTTGAGCCCAAGAGTCTTGAGGTTGCTGTGAGCTATGACAGAATGATCTTTTTCCCAGCCTTGAAGGCTTTTGACATTGACGTTTCCCCCACATTGAAACGCGACCCTGTTCGTGACATGGTGGATACACACATTGAGCAGTTGCCCTTGCCTCTTCCTCCATGACTATCTGTTGACTCACACTGGCCCATAATCTAAAAGCCTGAAGGTGGATGGATTTATGGTGTCTTGGAGCTCAGTTTTCAGTTTGCACAGACTAGAGACCAAAAAGGCTTTAAAAAGGAGAATCCTGATAGACTTCTGTACTACATCATCCATGTCTCCTGTGTCCGCTCTTAGACCGAGAGGAAAGAAGCATCCTTTCCTGTTTCTATCTTTCCAAAAGGGACTTAAGGAAGGGTGTGAGAGGCACATCTGTGCCTTCCTCCCCAGAGTTATGTGGAAAGACCTCAAAGCTGCACAAAGGTAGGGGAGGGCAGTGGGAAGTCTGAGTCCCGTCTGTGCTCACCATTTGCTCCATTGCTTTAGCACTCCCCCAGATCTGCTTGGTTTTCAGTTTATAATACTCTTGTTTGTGTTTTATTAATATTTAAAATTTTATTGTAAATTGACAAATTATAATTGTATTGCTTGTTACTTTGACCAAACCATTTCATTTGAGAGTAGGTTACTGATGTGGGCCTTTACTGCTAAATTCTTCAGGGTGTATCTCCTGAAGACAAGAACATTCTACATAACTGGAATATACAGTTACCAAAATCTTGCTCTGTCCCCCAGGCTGGAGTGCAGTGGCACAATCCTAGCTTACTGTAGCCTGGAACTCCTGGATCTCAGTTGATTCTTCTGCCTCAGCCTCCTGAGTAAATGGGACTATAAGTACATGCTCCCGCACCTTGCTAACTTAAAATTTGCAGAGGGTGGGAGGTGGGGTGGGGATGGCGGTGAGAGAGAGACAAGATCTCACTGTGTTGCCCTGGCTGGTCTTGAACTCCTCAGCTCAAGCACCCCTCCTGCCTCAGCCTCCAAAATGCTGAGATTATAGGTGTGAACCACTATGCCCAACCATTTCTTCTGTTAGCTAGTTGGCTTTATCTTTTTTTTTTTTTGGTAGAGACAGAGCCTCACTTTATCGCCCTCTGTGGAGTACCGTGGGGTGACACTGCCCACAGCAACCTCTTAACTCCTGGGCTGTGGCCTGCCTAGGACATTTATCTGGCCCACCAGGTGTTTTTGCTGCCACCTCTACCTGTTCTGCTTAGCATCCGACTCATCCCGGGGCCCGCAGTCTGGCCCTCAAACGGTCTAAGGGACAGTGAACTGGCCCCCTGTTTAAAAAGTTTGAGGACCCCTGGCTTAGGCGATTCTCTTGCCTCAGCTTCCCAAGTAGCTGGGACCACAGGCGCCTGCCACAAGGCCCAACTATTTTTTGTTGCAGTTCAGCCAGGGCCGAGTTTGAACCTGCCACCCTCGATATATGGGGCCGGCGCCCTACTCACTGAGCCACAGGTGCCGCCCAAGTTGACTTTATCTTTATTTTGTCACTATAAAAATCAGACTATTTCATTAAGGGGATTGGAGTCCCTGACTTTCTTTGTCCCTCTCCCCTCCTCTCTCCTGCCTTCCCCTCCCCTCCTCTCTCCTGCCTTCCCCTCCCCTCCTCTCTCCTGCCTTCCCCTCCCCTCCTCTCTCCTGCCTTCCCCTCCCCTGCTCTCCCCTGCCTTCTCCTCCTCTCTCCTGCCTTCCCCTCCCCTGCTCTCTCCTGCCTTCCCCTCCCCTGCTCTCCCTCTTCTTTCCTAGTCTTGAACTTTTGGCCTTGAGCAGTCCTCCAGCCTTGGCCTCCCAAAGTGCTAGAATTATAGATAGAAGCCACAATGCCCTGCCTGTCATTTATTTTGATGTTTAAATCGTCCCAGATTTGGCCCTGGAGCCCCGTTCCAGGCTGGCTCTGAGGTCCTCTTGCCATTTACTCAGGAATCTGTGCCACTCTCAGGCATAGCACCTGCCTGCAGCTCACCTTGTCCTTTCCTTGCTATGGTTCTAGAATCAGCCATTTCTCCAAGACCGCCCTGGCTCCTCTTAGCACAGAACAACCAAGGCCTGGATGCTGAGTGTGCTCCTCTGCCACTGCGTGCCACCGTTCTATGAACACAGCTATCCAGAGTTCAGAGTTCATAATGGTGCCTAATCACACCCACTCCAGGCGTCTTTGCCCTTTGTCGACCATACCTGGGACTCCTTTGTCCCACAGTGCCAAGGTGTCAATGGTGCTGCTCTCAGCACAGCGCTGCTGTAGGAAATGAGCCATTTCAGTGGTGGTTAGTTTCTTTACCTTCCTGGGGCTGAATAAAATCTGTCATTTTGAGTATTTAAGATAGTTTAAAGGCTGGGCTCAGTGGCTTATGCCTGTAATTCAAGCACTTTGGGAGGCTGAGATTGGGAGTGGATTGTTTGAGCTCTAGAGTTCAAGATCAGACTGAGCAAGAGCCCCACCTTTTAAACTAGCTGTGTGTTGCAGTAGGCACCTGTAGTCCCAGTGATGAGGGACGCTGAGGCAGAAGGATTGCTTGAGCCCGAGAGTCTGAGGTTGTGAACTGTGATGCCATGTACTCTACCCCAGGTAACCGAGTGAGACTCTGTCTCAAAAAATAAATAAAGTGGTTTAAAATTAACTTTAACACAGACTGAATAGCACACTACTAGACAAGGGTGCTAATTAGCAATAATTGTGATAGCATAATATGTGACAAAAATGTTCTTTCATTTCAAATAAAACGGAGTCTTTTGTTTGTTTGCAGTTTCTGACTGGGGCTGGGGTTGAACCTGCTACCTTCAGCATATGGGGCCAGTGCCCTACTCCTTTGAGCCACAGGCGCCGCCCTAAAATGGAGTTTTATTTAGAAAAACAGAATACAGAAGAACTAGATTGTTGGATAGGAGGACCCTAGCTATTTCAAAGTGCCAGTTTACTCTGGATTGTCCCTGTCAGTAAACATAATGAGTAAGATTGTAGCTTACACTAAAGCTCTTCTCAGCACATTATGAAAACCTTCACACAGGCTCAGCGCCTATAGCTCAACCGGCTAAGGCGCCAGCCACGTACACCTAAGGTGGCGGGTTCAAATCCCCAGCCCGGACCCGCCAAACAA